GTATTAGATGTAAACATCTACGACGTCCTTTTCGGCCTTCCCGCTCTTGTGGCGCTACGAGCAAAATTGGATTTCGAGCGACGGTCAATCATCCTCTGAAGTACGGGAGAAAAGCCCTATGTTGTACCTATGAGGCTGAACCTTCGTACTACCATCAACGCAGTTTCGCGAGTTTCTCTGATGATAGCGGGAACTCTTCGCATGATCATCTGGGAAAACTCTGCAGGCGGTGAGCCATCATCGAAAGATACGGATACTAGCAGTGACAAAAATAATCCGGAAATCCTAAAACTTGCACGACAGCATGTTTACTACCCACCACCCAGAACGATCGCAAGAACGATGCATCTAACTACTCGAAATGAACAAAGGACCTAGGCAATGATTTTGGGCGAACCCCTCGTACGGATCTCAAGGATGGTCGATTCTCCGGAACCCCCTCGGACCCTGTACGAAGGAACGGCCCATCTTCTCGCACGATACAACGATAAGAGAGCTTTTTGCGACATCACGGGCCTACCACGATCCTTGTTGTCACCCACAAAAGAAGTACGACTGCTACACCTGGGGGCGGAGGCCAGTTCTTTGAAACCCCCTGGGCGTCTCAAGGCTGAATCAGATGAGCTCGGAGTAAAAATCGCAACTAGAACCGTACCATGGCAAGATATCTGTGACGGAATCACCTCGGAGGGACACGTGGCCATCCGGGAGGAAGACGCCCAGATGATGGCCATGGTGTTCTCCTGGCGGTCGGACCATTCGTTTATCTCTGCGCCACCACCCGATGTGGCGAAACAAGCACGTACGAAGTCGATTGACGTACGGATCTGGATCAGTTTTTCGAGTTACATGTTTCACAGTACGTACCTGATGAGATTCATCATTTGATTGCGGACATTCTGACGGAATATCAGGGAGCGATTAGCGTGACGGGCACTGACATCAGCTTGTCGTTGGTCATTCAACACGAAATTCAGACAGGAAATCATTCCCCAGTTCACTGCAAGCTCGACCGATATTCCCTGATAGAACGAAAAAAGACTCTCGAACGAATTCGGGAATTCGAAGCAAGCAGTTGGATCGAACCCGCCACTGGACCATGGTCATTTCCAGTAGTATTAGTACCGAAGAAAAACAGATCAATCCGCGATTGCATCGATTATCGCAAACTGAATGAGATCACGATTAAAGATGTGTATCCTCTCCTCCGGCTTGATGATTTGCTGGATGCAATTTGATGTGCTAATTATTTTAGCAAGTTTGATATTCGGCATGGTTTTCATCACATTCTGGTTAAGGAGGAAGATCGGCCGAAGATGGTCTTCGTGTTGTTTGAAGGCACGGGCAGTGGGTTCGATGTCCGATGGGAATTTGTAACGCGCCTGCCACGTTTCAGCGAGCGAAGAACGTGACGTTCCAAAACTTCATCAACAAGACTCGGTTGACTCAAGGAATTATCAACTTCTGCGTCATCGTCTACATGGATGATATCCTTGTCTACTCGGAAACCTATCACGGACATGCGCAACACATTGAATGGACGTTGGGAGCGCTGAGAGACGCTGGATTCAAGATCATCGCGCTCGAGAAGAGCGACTTTTTCCTTTCGGAAATTTTGTTCCTGTGTTACGTCGTGACACGTGGAGGAGTGCGGCCTGACTCAAGAAAGATCTCGGCGGTAAGAGAAGCTCCTGTTCCCACGTCGTTGACGCAGGTTCGAGTCTTCTTGGGGTTGGCATCGTACTATCGTCGTTTCATCAAAGGCTTCGCCGCGATTGCACGACCACTAACGAGACAAGTAGCAGTTCTCCCATGTGGCAAGAAGCAGATTGGTGGCAATGGGCGACAGAGGTAATTCCATAACCCCTCTTTCTCCCCTCTCGTCTTCATCTCGTCTCTCCCTGCCTGATAAATTTTGTAAGTTTTTAGAAGCAATCTCCCGTGTGTACTCGGTCTTCATGCGTCCTAACGGGGAAGGCTATGCGGAATGGGTAGATTGTCGACAGTGCGTCGCACTAGCCCATGGCTCGTGCATCCAATACAGAAACGACAGTAAACCGTGGTTGTGCCCCTTGTGTCGGGTCGACAAGCTCCCCACCGAAGCTCGCTTTTTGGATGCCACGTCAGAAGGATTGGAGAAGACCCGGAAGTTTAGAAGGGCTGAAGTATGGACCGACATCGCTCTGATTGTTACCTTAGTGGGTAACCCCCTCCAGAATTTCACCAAGGAAGATCGGAGGAGGGCTAATGAAAGGGCTCGGGATTATCGATGGGTCGAGGTTAGGTTAGAGAAACGAAAAACGGACGGCAGTGGGATTTGGATGGTTGAACCGCACCTTTTCATGAGGTATGACTGGGTGAAGACAGCACACGAGGAAACGGCAACCCATTTTGCCGTACGGATTACGGAATCTGCGATCGACGAAAAATGAATGGTATTCGTCCAATATTCGAGACGATGTGAAATTCATCGTCGCGAACTGTCGAGTCTGCGCTGCTGATAAGGCGTCGATTCAACCGCCAAGATCGATAGTGCCGACGGTAGTTGAACGGCCTTTTCAAAGGGTTAGCATGGATACTACCAATATTATGGGACCCACTGGCCCTAATAGTTTTGACTCGTGAGTATTCCATCCTGTTGGTATTTGTCGACCATTTTTCAAAATGGATCGAGGTCTATCCATGTCGCACGCGACAAGCTGCCGAAATCGCGTGGTATGTTAACCGTTTTCTCGGGGTGCACCAGGATACAGAAGAAATCCTTACCGATAACAGGGGAGAATTCAGAGGAGAAGTATTAAGGAATCTGGTCATACACTGTGCCGCTGTGCGGAATACCGCACCCCACATGTCACAATCCAATGGGCTGGTAGAAAACGCGAATAGGGTGATAAAGACAGCACTGCGGCGAAACATCGTGGCCCGGGATCCGAGGCCTTGGCCCGATATCGTCGACCACATCTTGGCGGTCCATCGCGGAACGCCCCACGAATCGACGGGCGTGAGCCCCTTCCAATTAAGGACCAATAGCGTCGCTTGCGTTTCGATACCGAGCCTCCCTGATGAATCGACGCTCAACCACCGGCCTACGAGGGCCACGGCTCGGGACAAGGCCAAGCGGCACTTAGAGCTAATGGAACAGTCCCTCCCACTAAGTCCCCAGATTAGCCCGAACACGCCAGAAAATGACCAAATTGGCCCACGGCCGACAGGTCCGAAGCTACGAGGCTCGGAACGGGAACGCAGGTCCACGGCCCAGTACAAATTGGGGGACATCGTGCAGGTAAGGAAATGTGCTCGTCAGGGTAAGCCAGCGCCACGACTCTTTGGGTGATTCCGCGTGATTCAGCTCGGACCGAACGGCGTGAACACCGTGCAGCTTGCGCCTGAGGTCTCCGGCAGCCGATCGGCTCGTCCGATCATTCGCCACGTGTCCTACCTACGTCCTCTCCCTTCTTCCCCATTTTGCCTTCATCTGATTCCTCCTCCGCTGCGGAAGAGGACGATGACCGCTTATCACCTATCTTTCCTTCTTCATATCGTTCTTTCCCAGATAACCCGTCCCCGCCACTATCGCCATGAGCTTTTTCACAGAGCGAGCCCTCGGCGACCATCTTTTAACGCCACGGGGTTATATCTCGGCGATTCGGCAGGTGTGCCATCCACGACGCAATCAGGATCTTCTACGGCTAGCGCATTCTTCTGCACTTCAGGGGTGTATGCAGCGGCGAAGTTCCGATTCGCAGGCAGTCCGCAGGCGATGATACTGGTAGAAGCAGTGGCTGTCCATCGGCGATCGGCTCCAGGAATCAGCCACATGTCTACGGTCGTCGGTTTCAGCGGTGACATCAGCACGGTCAATGCGCTCCAACATACAGCCATCCGGACGCAACTGAGAAAGTGGGCGCAACAACTGGCCGGGGACTGGAACCGCTCTCTTACGCGCCCCGGGGAGAATCGTTTCCCCATGGACGGCGTCGAGCTCGAAGGGATCCGGGCATTCCAGCATGAGCCAGCGGTGGTGCTGCCAGAACTCATCCCCTTCCAGCCTCCCCGATGAACCACTCCCAACTCTCCACTTTTGCCCTCCCATCTCTTTTTCCCACCTTTTGGCAATCTAGTCTCCACCCTCGTCTCTCCTTTCTCTTACAGCCGCTCGCAGTCCCTATTCTCGATCCTGGCAGTGGCGACTTTGGCGCAAGCACTTCGTCGAGCTGTCGGTGTGCCTAGTCGGGATACGAATCACGTGGGCGAGGGACGAAGACCATCGCGAGTGGAGCGAGTACTTGGAGTGGCTGATTATCCAGGCTTGGAGAACAGACGTGGAGGGCGATCTTCTTGGATTCCTGTTTGGATCGGTGCGGCCCAGCCATCGCCACCCAATCGTCCTAGAGCTCACGGTCCCACTCGCGCAGCTAGCAGACGATCTTTCCCTGGAGATCGTCTCGCAAAGTGACGAGAACCCGGTCCCGCACGTTCTCACGCGGACCTTGGCGCCATATCTTCAGTGGTCAGCGTGCCTAGAGGAGCCGGGAAACAACTGCAACCCGCCATCGCAGCGGGATTATCTGAGCCAACGAGAGATCATCGATCTCGCCTACTTCCGGGATCAAACGGCTACCGAGGACGAGGCGGTAGCAACAGAGGAAGAAGCAGCAGAAGAAGAAGAGGAGGCCGAGGAAGAAACTCCCGAAGAGGGGTGTTACAGTGAGCACAGCGAAGGGGAGCAAAGTGAGGAGGAGGAGGAGGAAGAAGAACAAGACGACGAGGAGGAAGAAGAAGAAGATCAGGAGGAGCTAGAAAATTCAGAGTGGGAAGGATTTGAGGAGGAGGTGCGTACGGAGGCTCGAGAACAGGCCCAAGCGCAGAAAAGGTAGGAGATCGCGGCTGGAAAGTGACAGCTGGAGTTTGCCAGCGCAGCAGGTCCGCCGACCATAGACGATCCAGGGCGAGATTCAAAGCCGCCCAAGCCCGAACATGGGGACCCAGCTGCCGAGACTTCGGCCGCACCGGCAAGGCGGCGACGAAGCCGATCCCCCTCCCCCTCCACCACCGACCGTCCACCAGTTCGAACCCGTACTGATGTGGGGCATCGGGCTTCGTCCCCGGTCGTTATCCCGCCGTCCCCTTGGCCATCTCACCCTCCGCCAGGTTACCACCCGCGTTGTCTTTCCCCGCAACACCTTTCCCTTCGACACCTTCTGTTTCTTCTACGCCACCCGTCTTATTGTCACAATCCATCCCCACCCTTCAACCCGATGCGCCCTCCCCGACTTCTACCTCCATATCCTTTTCCTGAGCGCCGCGTAGCGAGGCCACAATATGATCGAAGTTTACTGCATGATTACGGTGACTATCCCCGCATGCGAAAACTACGACCATTTCTGAGCGGCCCTCTTCCGCACCTTCACCACCCTGTACCCAGACTACCTCGCTTTTCTCCCCCATACTGGTAATCGCTTCCCCCGTTTCGACCGGATTGTTAGATATCAATAACTTCCGGAAACGGTGGCGAGGTTGGATAGTTTCCTGCCCCCTCTCCCGATTAACCCCCCTGCTCGCCATGCTCCCATGTATCGTCTTCCCTTCCCTCTCCCCGTTGGACACTGCTGATCGGTCTATTGGTGCGCGTGCCGCTGCAATGACGCGTGTAATCCCCTCCTTGGATTGTCAATGGCCCTTCCTAAGGAATTAGTAGTTAGAGTTGTGTTTGCCACACTGAACGACGTCCACACTCATTCAAACGGTAAGCGGCACAAAAGGAAAAGCTCTACGTGTCGATCGATTAGAGAGACCGACACGTGTCAAACAAGCAAGCAGAAACTTACTAATATTGGAACCCCCTGGGCGTCACATATGTGACGAACCAAGCTCCGCGGCGCCGGATTTTCTGCGCGAATGCAATGAGGGGTCCTAAGCTAGGAAGGTTGGGCTAATTACGAGAGATCGGGATTGGAAGGAAATTGCATCAGTGTCCTCGCTTCTTCGTCTTTTTGCGTTGGTTCCTTTCAGATGGCTGGATCAAGCCCGGGTGAGCCCCAGGACGATCGATTGGTTGATTGGCTGTGTGAGTGGCGTGCTGTCCAACGTTCGATTAATAAATATTGACGTCATTTCTTTTGTTTCGGTTTCGGACCCTCTTAGGCGCGGACATCGCGCGGGAATTCTGCTTCGTTCTTTTTGAATTTTCTTTTTGAATTTTCTTTTTGAATTCCTTTTCAGATTTTGTCTAGCCTATACGACTCTCAGAATTTCAGACTTTCCTTTCATAGTTTGTGCCTTTTGTTTTTTTCGCATTAGATAGAAATTTAAAAATTTTGCAATTAGGATTTTCTCTTGCCGCGCGGCGCTTTTTGCTTACGTGCTTCTTTGTGCGGCTGCAACGAAACTCTGATTAGTCGGCGCCTTTAATCGTGTGTGTAACTGTAATTTTGGGCGGGCGCACTTGTAACTGTATCTCTCTTCTTGTTTCGCCTTTCCCGCCCTTCTTCTCTTTCTTTTCGCTGTGTTTTGATAGTCGTGATCTGCAAGATCGGATCGATGCGTGGAGAGCGGCTACGTCCCCCACGTCGTGATTGGGCCATGCGTTCCTTCTCTAATCTTCCTTATAAGTCCTTGTAATTTCGTGCTCTTCGCGCATGCATGCACGCTATAAATTTTGGTTGAGCGATTAGTTAGCTCTCTTAACCAACTGTTGGAAGCTCAGGGTTGTGCGATCAAAGAGGGTCGGCACACGAGCGAAGTAAGAGGTGAGTAGAGCAGGAGTCGGGCGACCCGACGAGCTGGTGCCAAACGCGCGGGGTTGACGCGGGCCACTATGGACTGTGGGCGAGGGCGAGCCTGACGGGTGAGGGAGGACTAAGCGGGGTGACGACTTCGTGGGTAGGTGCGCGACGACGGACTGTCCGCATCGGAGAGAGACAGAGAGAGGAAGAGGGAGCTGAGGTTGACGGACGCGGATTTGCTTGTTCTTTTGTTTTTTCTCCCTCCGTCTTGTGTATATAAATTTTGATTTCGGCTCAGGGCGATTTGCCCGTTTTCTGTTTTTTAGAATCTGGACTTGGGTTTTTGCTCACACTTGTCTTTGCGATTTCCATCTCAGATATATATTGTGTGTGTGTGTTGCTGAATGAATCAATGAATGGATGTTATGTCTGTTTGCTGATTCTTATGCTTGATCCTTGCCTTTGTCTCTCGCCTTGATGTACTCGTATGAAGGATAGAAATTTTGCATAGTCATCAATGTTGTTTCCATTTTTGCTTATCTTTTGATTGAGCTGTTGTGGTTGTTGCATCTTGCATGCTCGAAAATTACGGACTGATTAGGCGATCGAATGTATGTTGCCCTGCGAACACCACGCGAGAACGCTTGTAAACACGCTCCGATTTGCGCCTTTACACGTGTTCCCGTGCGTCGATTCGCCAACTGTATGAAAGAAAAGTCTCGTGAGCAAGCATACAGTTGGCATTGCACTTGGCATTCAGACGCTCCTTGGGTACCACTTATAATCGAGTGCACCGCTGATTGAAGTCTGGAATCTCTACCTTCTAGCCATGTGCAGATTGCTACTAGTGACTCAATCACCTAAAGGTAATAAGGGTTGGACTTTGAGTTGACCAGTAATTGATTACCAATTCATTTGAGACTACTATATTGCGTGCATGATGGGTCTAAGTTAGAGAAAAGTTTACGAGATAGCTGATAAAGCTACAATTGGGAAATGGTAATCGAGGTTCTAATGACATATTACACTTGGAGAGAGCCTTTAGGAACGCTGTGTAAGTCGCTTATTGATTCAAAAGCCATGCTTACGTTCACCCAATAGTCTATCTTCCTCAAGCTCTTACAAAGCACAATTCGATAGAAAGTGTACTGGGAGAATCACCTTGTAGAGCACTAGGTGAGGTCAGAGACCCACGAAGCTTCACGATTGAAGTTTTTTGTATGGCGCTATATCGTTTTTCTTTGCATGATCTGAGCGGGTGCTCAATTATCTTTAGCTCTGCTTAGTAGTGCTTGACTCAGGATGGTGAGTATGGACAATTACGGTGCTCAATTGAATACGAGGAGGCCTATACGCAATTGAGACTGAATGGCCTTTAATTGGGGCTACTCGCCCCCCTTACCAACAGTCTTGCAAGTGATCAGAATAATGGTCTAATAATTACACTAGAAAAGGTCAATTGAGTACTTGTCAATAGAAAGCTTGGTTGCACGGAATCAGATGTATCTTGAAAATTGTGGGCGATGGTCATTCAGAGGGTTCTTCCTACTCGTTCATGTAACTCCATGAACCTAAGATTGCTATGCTTTATTTGTTTGTGAAGTGTGTTGTCACCGGTGAAATACGATATTTCTATAATTGTCTTTCCAGCAACAAAACTCAAAATGCTTGAGGTTTAGATGTGTCCAGGTCTGATCAAACCAACGAGGGTTATGGTGGTAAACTGGTCGCTCTAAGCGTTGGTAAAAACACAGAATCAGGGAGGGTGATGGTTCTCGCTTAGAGATTGTGTTGATCTCTAGTTCTCTTTCTCCTATCTGTGGTGTTCCCGAGGGAAAGTACGATCACACAATTGAGTGCACTGCTTCCATCCCTTTCTCTTCCTGACCTGCCTCTGCAGAAAACAAGTAATGGCTTGATCCTTCCTTTAGGCAGGACGAGCTCAGTGGTGTTACTCGGTTGATCAAGTAACAATGTAACACCGAACAAGCTCTAGTATCCTTGCTTATGAGTGGATCGAAGGGAAACGATAATTGGAGCACTTTACCTTCGGTTTTACTCTCCTGTTTTCTGGTTGATGGGGAGAAAAATATCAATATTAAAGAGAGTTGCCTACCTCCTCGCAAAGTTTTGTTTTTATGGTGACTGATTAGGTGTGCTCAGGCATTTAATCCCCAAGTAATCTCACCTACAGGGAAGAGCAGCAAAGTGATCAAAACCTTCATCAAATGCAAAGACCGAAGTGAGGTGTGCAAGTCAGCCCATGAGCTGGATAACCAGATCGACATTAGGAGACGGTTTATGGCTTTAGGCAAACCTCTCACAAACGGATCTCTAAATTATTCATCAAGAGTGGCAATTCTAAGTATCATCACTCGTACTGTATGGACAACAAAGTGGTCGTCAGTCGTACTGCTCAGCGAAGCCCTCAGTGCGAGAATTAAATGTTGGTCGAACCTCTGAGCTGAAAGTTAATCAGGGCTGCAATTGCGCCCGACTGTTCTCTAGGTCAAGCGTAGCCATGTGACTGGACCCAGAAAACACGTTCAATTTCCCCGTGTTGTGAACGAAGAAAAAAACCCTCCGTTACTCATGTGGGGGTCCACACGATATGCTCATGTAACATTCACATGCCTATTTAATTCATTCCTTTGTTGATCACTCATCCTGCCTATCTTGATTAGTCCGCTCAAGTTAAATATGGGCTCGAACCCTATCCTTAAGTGATGTAACATCCTGCTACGTGCGTGGATATGCACAGTTATACTCAGTAATAGTGTGCCTATAAGAGCTTTAACCATCACCTCCATGTGCTATAAGCGAAGAGAGTTCATACCATGTCCTTTGCAAGTGGGTACTCGAACTGTTTACATAGCCCCATGCCATCGTGTACGAAAGTTCAAAGCCCATGCATCTGATTCCAATCGGCCAGAGACGATCGTGATTGAAAGCGTTCCTCGTAGTAGCTAGATCAAAGCTCGTACCCAGACTGATTTTATGCACTTCTAAGTCTCTCCACCAGAGGAGGGTTGTATGTCACTTAAAAAAACCTGTTAATCGAGAATGGTTAATACATCGCCACTGGAGGACATCGTCTGCGAATCCTTGGCACTTAAATGGTAACAAAAACTGAGTCTGACAATGTTAATGAAGAAATAGTGTTTCAGGGTTGTATGAGCAAAGACATAAATTAGCAGCTTCTCAGCACTGGCTTAAAGGGAAGCCGGTTGCAACCAGACTATTGAGGCCGCCAAG